CCCCCCCCCCCCCCCCGCAAAGCGATGGTTTCATATAAAAGCCTGCGTACATCAAATTATCTTTCACTAATCAATGCCTTGGCTGCCTCTGCTGGAATTCATACAAACGACAAACCGCAGCTTCACAGAGCAAAGCATAAATTCTGCCTGCTCGTTTTGAGTCTTGGGATCTGAAGATAATCCTTAAAACTCATCAATCATTATTTTAAAAAGTTTTAGAAGGAGCAACTTTGTTTTGCAGTATGCTGCGGTGGCACGGCACACTTAACCATTGCACTTACACGACCTGCTGAAATGGCCGAAGGTCAGCCTTCACAAGCATGTTGTGGGACCCCAGATCCCTGGGAGAGGAACTGGCTTCATGGATGGGGCGCCACTCCAAGACCAAAGAGGCGTTTTTGGATGCAACCTCCACCCCCCCCCCCCGCCATCTCCCCCGGGCACATTCAGCCTGAAGGAGAGGAAACCCCGCTCGGCGCTGATGGGGCCCAGCATGAACTATGATTCTGTGTGGCCATCTGACCCCCCCCTCCCCACTAACAAAGGCCGAATTAAGAAAAAGACAAAGAAGAAAGCTGCAAACGGGGCTTAAGTCCCCTGCAATCGCACTGCTCAGAGCCCAGGACATGTGCAGCCTCTGGTCTGGCCAGAGCTCTCCTTGGGCATCTGGCCCCTCACCGCTTTCAGCTTCTTCACTGCCTCTTCGCACACCTGCATCCCTCGGGACTCCTCCACTTCCACGTAGCCCAGGTACTGTGGGGAGGGAGGGAGGGAAGGAAGGAAGGAGGAGTAGTCAGCAGGCAGGACCTGATCTTTGTGCCACGGGAGTGAAAGAGCAGCAGGAGCCACGTCGTGTGGTGCCCGGGATGCTCAGAATCTGACCACCCCCACTGCTGGGCAAGGCGCAAATCGAGGGGACCCAGCGCAGCCCCCATCACCAGGCCTCCCCCCAAGAGGCGCTGGCCAGGGCCTTAATGGCAAGCCCAAGAAGGAGAGGGGCGGTCACTCACCCGCACCGGGAAGCTGCAGCGCCCCTTACGCACCGCCTCCTCATCGGCCTGCCACTGGTGGGGGCGGCTTGCCTCGGGCACGTAGGATGGTTTCTTGCGCCGGAGACTCTGCCGCAGTTTGTTCATTGCTCACCCCTGCCGGGCCTGAGGTGGGAGAGGGCAGGTGAGCCCAGCTGCCCCCCAGGGAAGGCAGGCCCAGGCCTCAGCGAGACTCCTTCCGGTGCCCAGGAGTGTCGGCCTCTGGAAGGATCGCCCTGGTCTGCCCAGGGAACTCCGAACCAGACTTTCCTCATCAGGACGTCAGAAACGGGGGTGGCATATTCTCTGGCGGGGGGAGGGGCGGAGATGCTCCAAAGTTCACACTGATCTGGTGGCTAAAGTCCTCGGGGCAGCCCCCCCCTGCACTGGGCCTCCCACCTGATGTCCCTCAGCCCTAATAGGAGGTGGTCTTCCCAGGCAAAGGGGGTGCCGGGCATCACAGAGCCCACCTTCGGGCGCTGCTCCTGGGGCTTCCTGAGGCCCAGCCAGGTGGGAACAGAGTTCAGCTGCAGAGCGGAGGAGATCCTTCCCCCCTTCCCTCCCAGGTTCCTCCCAGGGCTGCAGCCTCCTGGGAAGCTTCTGGCATTGCAAGATGTCTCCTCTGACACCTCCCAGCCCATTGGGGTGCGGGGGGGGGGGCTTGTGAGCCCCAGCCCTTTTTCTCCCTGCCTGCTCCTGCTTTAGCCTTACATCCATCTCTGGATCCCACCAGAAAGGCTTGCCTGGGTTTGGGCCACCCCCCCCACCCTCATCCCCAGCAGATGGGGGGGGGGGGGGGAGCGTCTTCCCCCCTTCCCTTTTGGGGGCGGTGCGGGGGGGGGGGGGGGGGGGGGCTCTCAGTCATGCCCTAAGAAGGCAAAAGATGCGAAGAGCTGAGCGCTCCCCTCCCTTCCCCTCCCATCTCCTGGGAACAGTGGCTGGCCTCAGGTGGCCTCCTGGCCCCTTCAGAAGGGGGCCCCCTTACTTTGCAGGCACCCCAAGGTTGGAGGGCCGGTAGACCCCACCTCCGTCCCCCTCCTTTGCTTCTGCTCCCTGCCAGTGTCGCTGTCTTGAAGAGCTGCGGAGAGGGGTGCAAGCCCCCCCCGCCCCTTGCGGCTTCCTTGAGCCCCGGACTCTGTGAAAACCAACCTGGCCTGGGCAGACGTCATCGAGGGCTGAGAGGGCAGCCTCATTTCCCCTTGGCCAACTCTCCGGCCGTCGTCTCTACAGGCGCCCCTCAGCTCACAGATGGTCCAGGCCATTAAATGGTCTCTGCCCCACAGTGCAGACGGAGCCCGGTCTCTTTTGTACGGAGCGTGTGCCCCACACAATGGCACAAAGGAAAGCCCCTGGAACTCGGGGGAGACACACAAAGGGGCCCAGGCGCACACGGGGCTAGGGGATGGGTGTCTGTGAGGGGGGGGTGAGGCCTTGTTTAGAGATGGCCTTTTAGCAAAGTCAAACTTTTCCAGGCAACAGCTGCCCCGGAGCTGGTGGGAACAAAAGGGCAACACGGAGGGCCCCTCCCCACGTCCGTCCGGCGAGCAGCTGCCCCGGAGTGGCTTGCGGGATCCCTCAACAGCTGTGCGTGTCCTGGCCCTCCGCCCACTTCCACATCCAGCACACCAGCTGCACCAGGGCTGGGCAAACATTTGGCCAAGAGGGACATGTTTCCTCAGCTGCCACCAGACTGCCCCCCACCCCGGCCAGGGGTGGCCTGGCACACCCGGGCGAGCGGCTGAAGGGTTTGCAGGCCCTGATGGGAGGGGGGGCAGGTGGGACTCATTCCCAGGCGAGGAAGGAGGGCGGGAGAGGGAGCTGCTCTGCCTGCCCAGAGAGGGAGCGGGGGGGGGGGGGGCGAGATTCTCCCTGGGGACCAGGGCAGGAGGATCCAGGGATCTCTCGGAGGAATCCTGCTCTTGGCTGCTGGAGGAGGGGGAAGCAGGAGGGGCCCTTTCCAGGCCTGCCTGCTGCTTGTCCCCACCCAGAAGAGCTTATGGCTTCCTGCCTCTCCTGCACCAGAGAGCAGCCTGATTGTGGGGGGGTGATGGTGGGGTGGGGCTGGGTGAGCTCTAGGGAACTTCTGACGGAAAGAGGCCTGGGAGTCCGGTTGGCTTCTGTTGCGCTTCCTGGCTGGGCCAGGGAAGAAGGTGGCCAGTTGTGTGTGTGTGGGGGGGGGGGGGGGGGAACAGGGGGACCGGGCAGGGGGGGGGGGGGGGGGGGGGGTGGGGTCTCCTCTATGGCAGGCCGACCCTGAGGAACCTGAGACAGGCAGGCACAGCACCTCCGAATCCAAAGTTGACTACATTTGTACAACCTGTTTCCTGAGTCAATCTGTTTTGGGGGTTTGGTCAACTATTGAACCTCACTAATGGGGGGCCACTTGCATAAGTACCCCCCCCCCAGTAACAAGGTGAGCCTAGCCTTGTGTGCAAGTGCAGCTGCAGGCTGAGCCGACATGCTTGTGCTGGGGTCCCTGTGCGGAGGCTGCCTCTCCAGGAGACCCGGGCCCACTTTCCATCACTCCCCTCCAGCCCGAGGCCCGCCCCATGGCAGTGCCCGACTCAGGGCAGAAGTAGCAGCCCAGGGTAGGACAGCCGGACGCTGGTTTCTCTCAGCTGCACACAGAGCTGCCTGTGTGAAACTGCATGTCGTTCTAAAAATAGGTGGGCACAACTGCCCTCCCTACCTCCCCCTGCCGCTGCCCCCTGGTTTCTTAGCCAGACCACAGCGTTGCTGGCTGCTTTCCCCAGGAGGAGCCGAGGGAGGGCGGGGTCTTCTCCAGGCCATCCTGGGTTGGTGCCCGTTTGCCTGGAGCGCATCTTGGAACACATCGCGTGATACCTTTGCCAGTGCAGAGAGGGCAGGTGTGACCCAAATGAACAGGTCTCCCCCATAGGGCTCGTGGGCTTCCAGGGAGACAGGGGTCCTCCCCCCACTCCAGCTGGCCCTGCCCTGCCCTACTCCAGCCTCCTGGGCCCCTGGTCAGTGTTCCTCTCTCCCTCCCAGGATTTCGCTCCGTTGCAGCTGGGAAAGGCTCATCCAGCTGGGGAGGCTTTGGGGCCACCCAGGCTCCCTCTGGGAAAACGCTGGAAGGGCCTGGCAGAGCAGCCAGGAGGGCGGGAAGGGCCTGCGTGGACCTGTTCCGTGGGGGGTCTGCAGTGTCAGGAATGAAAAAAGGGCCAAGGACCCCAAAGGTGCCACCTGACCCTCTGGCTGCCACCTCCTCAGGCCAAGGCCCAGAGACAGCACCCCAGTGGGCAGCCGGCCCCACTCAGCAGGAGCCCAGGGAGGATCCCGAGCATGAGGATATGCAATGAGCAGGTGTCCTCTGAGCAACATGCAGAGTGCAGAAAGCATTCCTTCCCCAAGGATGACTCCCCCCACTCAATATAGATTATGGGAGCATTGCCTTTGGGGGGGGGACAGAGAAACTAGGCCTCTGCCTGTGCAGCCCCCAAGAAAGGCCCCCTGTGGGCGGGAGGTGCCTTTCATCAGACAGAACCCCTGGAGCTCTGCTGGGGAAGGAATAGGAAGGAGCCGCCCTGCTGGGGCCAGCGCAAGAACATTCTGGAGTCTTCACTTGCGCAGGGAGGGGCTCCTTGGGGGGTGGCCCCCTCCAATGCCTGGCAGCCTCTTCTGGAACTCTATTCACTCTCCTGTACAACCCCTTCCCTTGAAACGACGGGTGTGGAGGGGGGGCTATGCTACCTGGCTTCCTCCCTGGCTGTTTTCCAAAGTGGGGCTCCCCAAAATTCACCTGACTCCCCGCCCCATTTTGGTCAGTCCCTAAGGCAGCTTCATTTCCTCCAGGCTGACCGCAAGTGAGCCCGCCAGGGAGACTCCCCCCCCCCGCCCCACAGCCAACTTTGAAGGTGTCACGGCCCCACCCAGGAAAAGTCTCTCTTGGAGGGAAGGAAGCAGACTGCGCAGGCCTCTTAAAATAGCCCAGGCAGCCAGGGCCTGGGCCAGCAAGTGGGACTCCCTGTGGGAGGCAGCAGCTTCCCAGGAGAGGAGGTGGAGGGAGAGGAGGTGGCGCTTGTCTTCCTGGAGCCCAGCTGGAGGTGGGCCTTCCCCAGGCAAACTCTGGGAGATGGGGGGGGGGTGAAGGTGGGGGCGAAACTGCAGCCTCCCAGCCTCTCTCCAAAGGGGTCGTTGTGGGGAAGCACATCTCAGAATGTATGACCCGCACCCCAATTTCTTGTCAACACCCACATACACACACACAGCGCCATTCCTGGAAGTTCCCAGCAATGCAAGACGAGCAGCATCCTGCGCGGCCCCCCCAAAACCTTGCGAGCCTGGCGGGGAACTCAGTGGCCCACTCTCAGAAAGGGAGGCGGGGAGGGCAGGGCGAAAAGTTTCCCCAAACCCCGTTGGGAGGCAGCTCCATCTGACCCCCTCGGCGGGGGGGAGGAGGATGGCGGGCGCTCGAGGAGCCGGAACGCTGGGTGGGGCAGCCGGCCAAAGGCAGGAGGATGCTGGAGCTTCCCGGCCAGCCTGAGGTGTGGCGGGGCGAAGGAGGGGGGGGGGGGCTCGGACAACCTGCCCCCTCCTCGCAGTGATGGAAGCCCAGCCCTTCCCGGCGCGCCTGCTGGAGAGCGGCTGGGCGGAGGCGCGGGGGCGTCGGGATGCGATTCCTGCCCCCTCCCGCGACCCCCTTTGGGCAACCCGGAAAGGGTTGCTCTCCGTGGAAGGCAGCCAAGGGCGGGGGAGGCTGCTTTGGGTCCTTGAGCCGGGGGTTCCTCCCCGGGCGCCTCGAGGCGGCCGGGTGAAGGCAGAGAGAGACCCTCCCCAGGCCGTCCCCGCAAGCTCCTGCTGCTGCTGGCCGGCGCGGCGGCGTCCTCACCTGGATGCGGGAGCGGCGATCCTCTTCCCGACTCGGCATCCAAGGAGCGAGGAAGGGCCCGATGCCGCCCCTGCTGTTCCGTCCGCCCGCGGACTCCGCTTCGTCTCTGCCGCCGCCGCCGCCGCCCGCCCGCCCGCGCCTCCCGCCTGGCCACGCCCCGGGGCCGGAGGATGCAAGGCAGGGCCGCCCCCGCCGCGAGACCGCGCCCCCTCCCCGCCTGCCTCGGCCCGGCCCGGCTCCTGCCCGCTTGGCGCGGCTCCCCGCAAAAGGACGCGCCTGGAAGAAACCGGCGTCGCGTTGTACCTGCTTGTCGCGCCTCTTCCTTCCAGGGACGGCGAGAGCCAAGAAATAGCCAGGCCGGCATCCCCCCGCCGGAGAGGACGAGCGAGCCAGCGGCCCGAAGAAGAGGCAGCGGGGAGGCGCCGTTGTCCTGGAGCGAGTCTGTTGGGCGGGAGTCCCCTCTTAGGGGAAGGGGACCAGTCGGCGGGCAGGCCGCCCCCTTTGGACCTTCCCGAGTGCTCAAGCGGCTGGTACAGAGCACGAGCTGGCTGGGGGGCTGGGAGAGCGCGACGGGGACCTTCGTCCAGGGGGTGAGGAGACTGCTCTCCTCCCCCTGGCAGGGATCTAGGAGAGCAACGGTTCACAAAGCTCCCCTTTCACACACCTTTGCACAGTGGAAAAACGCCCCCCATCCCGTCGCGGTTTCTTTTCCGGGAAAGGCAGCTTCCATGAAATCCAGCTGGGCTGGGCGCGGGCCGCCTCCGCAAGGAAACCCAGAAGCCAGACCGAGGCAGGCTTCACGGGGGCCCCAGAAAGCGGGCCCTTCTCTAACCTTAGGGCGGGGCGGCTCTGCTTAGACAGCAGGGAAGGGCTCCCCTCCCAGCGCCCTTTGGGTCAGGAGGAAACATGCTGGGAAAACACAGCAAAGAAATAGGAGCCAGGAATTGATCCAGGAAGTTGGGTCTGGCTGGCTGTGCTGACTGGATCATCCTTGGCCCGCTGGAGGTGGAAGGAAGCAGTGGGAAGGAGCTGCTCCCGAGAGGGCCACTCTACCTGCAGATCTGACCAAAACGACTTCCTGGAGAAGGAGTTCGAGCTGTTGTCTGGCTTCAGAGCCCCCTGGAAGGCTTGGACGGTCAAAAGGCAGTTCTCTCCAGGGTTGGATGGGGCAGGGTCCCGAGATGGCCTTGCAGGGCTTGCTGATGACCTCTGGGGGAGCCAGGGCGGGGGCGGGGCGGCCAGCCTGGTTCTCTGTGATGGCTCAGCAGCTTTGGAGGCCTTTGCCCATTTCAGAGCCAGGGGCCTGGACTTCCTCCTCCTCCTCCTGCGTGATTGGAGCATAGACCTGGGCAAGAGGGCCCAGTCCCTCCCATGTCCTGCTCAACAGCTACATAAGGCTGCTGATCAAGATTATCTCTTGGTTGGAGGCCAGGTGTCATCAGGATGCTGCCCAATGACACCTCTTCAGCTAGGATATCTGGCTGCTGCCAAGGTCTCCTCCCAGGGCTTGGAGGCTGGGGGTGGGGTGAACTCAACTCCCAGAAGATGATCGGCTGTGAGTGTTGGACCAACCTCTGTCCTGAATCGGGTCCTACTTCCCCCTTTGGGGGCCTTCATGGACCTGCAGCTCCTGAGAGCAGCTGTGGCCATCCGTTCACTGAATGCACCAGTGCTGGAGTGGGGGATCCTTCAGACTGTCACTCATACGTCAATCACCTTGCATTTAGACAGTTGTAATGTCTTGTCTTGAAGGGCACTTTGCCCTGGCATTACCAGGCCTGCCTGTATCACACAACAGCTCCCTAAGCTGTGATGGTTACCTGGGGGCATCCTGGCCTCACTCTGGCCTCATTCCAAGGGACCCAGGAAAGCTGGCTCTTCCCCCAGGCCTCACTTGGGCTAAAGTGGGCAACAGGCCACTTGCAGGGATGATCGGTTTGCAAGAATGACCTGTATATCGTTCAAAATTCTGGATTTGTGTTGTATTTTTTACATTTATATTATCCGAGTCATGATGTGTTGGGCAAAAAGAAGGAATTTACCCTCGGAGGCCACATTTTGGACAAGATTTATGAATTTCTTCCTTGGGCAAAGGCCTCCTTTGGAAAACGGCTCAATAACAGACCAAAAGTTCAGAGAGTGGGGCAGCCCAGAGAACATGCCGTTTCTTAAATCCTACACCCAGGAGTGGGGCTTACCCAGCGGGGGATTAGCCGGGAATGGAGAGGATTAACAGGCTGGAAAGGAAGAGCCTCCAAGGGGAGGGGGATGTGGCAGTGCAGCGCAAGGGCTCTTCAGAGGCCTCCCATAAGTGTCACGCATTTCAGCTTTCCTAGAGAAGAGAGGCTTGGAGCTTGGAGCAGATACTTGGAAGGAATATTAAGAACAGCGAGACCTTGGAACTTAGATGGCCGTTCTGCAATCTCTCCAGACACCCCTCCCCCTTCAGCCTCTCTCTAAAGTTGTGCAGAGGACCAGCCCACTGAACGGGCCAAAACATACCCCCGGAGACCCTTTCCAGGCTGTGGAAGGTCCGAGAGAGAGAGAGAGAGAGAGAGAGAAAACCCACCAAAGGTTCCATGGAGTATTTGCCCAGAATATCTTTTGAAACACTTTACGGCCATTCAGGAGCTTCCGAAGGCCGGGCAGAGTCAAGGACGGCCTTCCTGGGATGAGGGTTAATGGATGCTGGCCTCAAGCCTCAGCAAACCACCCTCAGCTTCCTTGGGAGGTGGATCTGCGTACTTGAGGGCTCCTTTAAGGAGCGATGCCAAAAAGTGTGCAGGGCCAGTCTAGAGAATGCCAAACTGCTCATAATTTGGGGAGGGGGAATCACACTCCGTCCAGTGAAGAGGGGCATTCTGCCCCTCTGGCCATGTAGCCCCCCTCTGGAAAGGCCCACAGCCACCTGACCAGAAGAGGCTTGGATGCCTCCAAGGCTGAGCAAGTGAAGAGGCAGCCTGGGCCGAGGCTCCAAGTGTTCTCCCTCCCTGGAACTGCCGCTTGGAGGGGGGCCAGAATATGCTCCCTGCTGTATCGACCCCTGCCGTGCCCCCAATCCGCTCCCCATCGACCGACCCGCCTTGTTTGTGGCCAGGCTTCGCTGCCAGCCTGTTTAGCAATCAGTGGTGGGGGTGAACCAGGCGCTTCCAGTCGCCGTGCAGTGGAAACCGTGGGGACTCTTGGGAAGAGGGGTGCCGTCTCCCGCCAAGCCTCCTCAAGCACAGTGGGGAGCCCCCCCTTGGCCCGCCTGCCCCCCCCCCCCAAGTGGGAAGTTTCCAGGGAGCAGGGGAGCGTTGGGGACACCCCGGGTCAGCCATGCAGCAGCCATCTGGGAGGCAGCGCCTGGAAGCCCCCCAAGGGGCTATTTCCCCCTAGAAAGCCCCCCGTTGATTTTCAAGCCCTTCTCGCTTTCCCAAAAAGGCCTGAGCAGAAGCCCCTCCCAGTCCTGGCTTGTAAGGCCCCACAACCCAGTTTAAAGCACCTGGCAGTAAACCATCATTCCCAACCAACTCGGGGGACACCGCCTGATCCTGGCAGGGGCAGATCCGGGATGGCTGAGCTGAGCTGCCTGGTTGCAGATGGCCGGAAACTTCCCTCAAGGGGCTTCCTGGTTCTTTAGGCCGACCTGCTTGTGGCTGCCCCCTTTCCTCATCCTCACAAGCAGCCATTTCAAGGATGAAGAAGACGACGAAACCCGTCAGACTTTTCTCGAGGAACGAATGATCGATGTATGCTGAATTGACAGGGAAGAGGAACCGGATTGAATTCTTCTATATTTATTTATACAGTTCTGAACTGGACTTTTCAAAGGTTACAGAACTGACGGACCTCGACCGCAAGAGCCAAACTGGGCACCACTTTGCAAGAGCAGCAGCTCTCCAGCAGAATTGGAGGCAGCAAAGGCACCTTACTGGATTGCCCGGATCGGGCAAATGCCACCCGGCTCCTTGGCCTAAAAAGGACCCGGCAGCACCTGCCAGGAGCTCCTGGAGAGGCCCTCCCCCCCCCAAAGGGCCTGCCTGCCCGACCCAGGCTCTGAACATTGGCCACACGGACAGGCGGAAGGCCGCTCTCCCTGCTGGGAGTCTGGGGCTGACTGGGGGGGGGGCAAGGGGAGCCATGGGCCCTCCCCAATCGACCGTCAGCTCCTACTTCCCCACCCGGGGCAGGAAGCAGCCCAGACCCTGCAGGCCCAGAGAGCAGCTGCCTTCCCAGGCACCTGCGTGGGCACCTTCCCCTGACAAGCAACTGGGCCACTCTGGACCTGCCTCCCAGCCCAACCAGGCCGCCCTCTCCAAGGGGCAGGTATGTCAGATTACTCCCCGCTTCTCACTGCTCTCCACGAGACTCAAAACCGGGGCCCAAAGGAGAGAGGAGCAGGAAGGCTCACCCACAGTCTCCGAGGTGGCCAGTTCTCTCTACTCTGGCTCCTGGCCAGCCTTCCACAAACCCCGAGGCCACGTAGAGCCCCACAAAAGAGAGAAACTGGCAGGCAGGGAAGGGAAGGGCTCTCACCCAAGGCAAGGCGGCTCCACCCCCACCCCCACTGTGAGTTGGGGGCCTTCCAGGCCTCAGCCCCTCCCTGGTACTCCTGCAAGGGAGCCATCGGCACCTCTGGCAGGGCAGCCTGGACTCCTGCAGAGCTCCTCCAGAATGTGGCTGGCTGTAGGTGATGGGACTGGGCAGCAGTTTATCCAAAGCGGCGTAATGGACCCCTGGACAAGCATCTGACAGCCAAGGCCAGCCTGAGTCACAAGAGGCTGTTTTCCCTTCGCAGCCCAGGAGTTAGTTGCCTTTTCCCTGTGGGGCAACCAACAGACACCCCCCCCCCGCCGCCGCCGGTGCTCTCCCCACAGAAACGCAGCAGAGAGAAGGCAGCCTTCCTGCACCCGCAGCAGCCGGGTTCCCTGGGGGAGGAAGGCTGGTTCCAGGCCCAGGGAGGGGGCGGGAGGAGACCCACCCTCTTCTCTTCACTCCTTCCAGGGAGGAGCAGCTGGTCCCTGGGCTGAGCGCCAAGGCAGCCGGACCACCCTCAGCCCAGCCTAGAAGGGCTCTCCCGGCCTGTGTACTGGCTGTAGGCCTCTTCGAACATCTCCCGGCAGGGCACGGCGGCAGCGAGACGGGCGCAGAGGAGGAAGGTGCCGGCCATCTTGCGGTGCAGGGAGTAGCTCTCCTCCGGAGGGGGGCACAGGCGGTGCTTCAGCATCACGGGGATCAGGTCCTGGACGCAGCGGGTCGTGTCCTGGGTGCTGAAGTCAAAGGGCCCCGGGGCGGAGAAGACCTTGCCCAGGAGCATCACTGCCTCCACGTGGGCCTCCTCAAAGACCTGCCGGGGGGGGGGGGGCAGCTGCAGTCAGCCACCCAGGCAGCCTCCCTGCCTTCCCACAGGGCTGCGTGTGAGCTCCTCGGGCACAGCTGCCTCCCCAAAAGCCCTTTGAGAGCCAGGCCTCCCATTCCTTCCCGCTGCCGAACTCGCCTTGCTTTCGAATCCGGTCAGGAATCCCAGGTCCTTGGATTTCCGAAGTACTTTCTCCCTGTCGCCATCGGCCGCGGCTCTCACCACCTGGGGGCAGAGGACGGCCTTCAGACCCTCCGTGCTCTCCTCCCGCTGCCCACCTCCACTTCCTGAACCAAACCTTCCCCCAGTGGGCTCCTTACCCGCCTGCACCATGAAGTGCGGGGGGGGGGGGGGTCCAGGGGGGGGCCCGCCCCGCCCCCCCCCCCCCCCCCGAGGCTGCCACAATCACCCAGCCTGGGCAGAAACTCGGGACTTGCCTCAATGTAGAGGTCAGTGAACTCCTTGCAAAAATCCCGGCTCGCTCCAAAGTCCAGCAGGGTGACCTGCAAGGAAGGCGGGGCTGAGGGCCATGGCCACAACAGTTAGAGTCTTCCCCCCCACGGAAAGGCTGCTGTCCACACGGCCCGGCTGGAGTCGAGGGAAGGCTCACTTTGTGTCTCTCAGCGTCATAGAAGAAGTTAGCCCAGTTTGGGTCCGTCTGCATGAACCGGAATTCGAAGAGCTCACGGAGGCAGAGACGGAGGATCTGCGAGCAGATCTGGGGGAGGAAGAGAGGCCGCTGGTGGGTCACGGGCAGGGGGGGTATTGGGTCTCCAAGGGGAGACTTTGCCGCTTGGATCCCAGCAGCCCTCACCTCGTTGCGAGCCTCCTGGTCCAATTCCTGGCACTGGTCCAGTGGGACGCCCCCCACCAGCTCCATGGACAGCACTCGCCGGGTGGACAGCTCGTCCACCACCTCCGGCACCTCAAAGAAAGGGTCGCCTTCCAGAAGCCGCCTGGTGAAAGAGAGGCCTGTTGGGACCCCTGCCCGAGCCCCTCCCTGCGCAACGCTCCCCATAGAGCCTCCGAGGGCCAAGAAGCCAGCAGGGACACCGTCTGGGGGAAACCCCACGCAAAAGTCGGTCGTTAACCGGGTGTCGCAAGGCCGCTGGACCAAGGACACCCCCCTGGGCAACAGCCTACCTGAACCTCTTGGTGCTGCTGGCTTCCCGCTCGTAGTCGCACTCCCTCTCCAGCTCCTTCTGAAGGACCTGCAGGGTGTTGTCTGCAAACAGGCCTGGCAAAGGAAGAGCAGAGGGCTGCCCAGCTTTGCCTTCTGCCCTTCCCAATGCCCACCCGCTCCTGGCTCCTCAAAATGGCGAGCGCCTTCCTTGCAGGGGCACGAGGCTCACAGCAGCCACAATTTTCAGGGCCACAGCTGAGCTTCTGGGAGCTCTTCCTCCTCCCAATTCTCATGCCAGTCAGAAGCCCGATAAATGTATCACAAGCTACACCTTTCCCCCTTACCTGCCGGAAACATTGTGCTCATCCTGAGTACCGACAAAAGGTTGTCTACGTCGCTCCGGATGCTCTGGGCAATGCCAGGATACTGCAAGGATGAGGGTTGGAGGCAGAGCAGGTGTTAGAACTGGGGCAGGACAGGGCACCCCACAATGGTTCCCACCTCTTCCCATTGTCCCTGACCTGGATCTTCATTGCCACCTCCGTCCCATCCTTCAGCACCCCAAGGTGCACCTGCCCCACAGAGGCAGCTGCAAAAGGCTGTTCGTCGAAGGAGGCCACCCGCTCACGCCAGTCGGTGCCCAGTTCTTCGGACAGCACCCCCTGGAAGGAGAGAATCCCACAGATGGGGGAGGGGGGACTGAAGGGCAGCCAGCCAGCAAACAGCTACATCGACGGTTGCCCAGGCAGACCTGTCCTGTGCAGAGTCTCAAGGCCACCAGACTCAGCAGCTGCCACTGCCCTCGATCCTGTCCCACCACTTGCAACTTCCCAAGGGCTTAAAACTGACACGCCCCCCCCAAACTCCACGTCAGCAACACACCATCATCTGCGAGGGTGGCATGAAATCTGCACTCTGCCGGACACGCTCAAAGATCTGCTGCAGCTGGGGGCTGAGGAAGTAGTTGTCTGTGGGGAGACCGGAGGGTTACTGGGGCGCTGATCCCCAAACCCACCTACCACAAAGTTTGTAAGAGATGGCAAGAAATAATAGCTTGCTAAATACGGAGTGACAGGGAAGCAGAAAGCAGTCAGTGCATTCACCCCCCCCCCCCCCCCCGCCAGGAGACGCATCGGTCATAGAAGTGCCAGCTGGGCACAGCACCTCTGCGAATGGAGGCTGGTCCAGCTGAGATGCAGCTGCTCCAGGGAGCCTCTGACCCAGCGAGCAGAGAAGCCCCATCGCCCCCACCTTGGATGCTTAACATCTGGCCGATCTTGAGCGCTGCCCCTCGCAGCCGGCAGAGAGTGTCGGCGATCCGCTCCGCGTTGGCTGCCGAAAGGCTGCTCTCTGCAGGGAATAGGGCGGTGGGGGAGGGGCTGTCAAATCACGGGGGTCGCCTCCCCCCTGCACGGCAGGAAGTGGGAGGGGACACCTGAGGGGGGAGGGGCAATCGGCTGCGCAGGCTCTGGTCCAATCAGAGCCGCCAACCCCCCCCCCGCCCCCGAGTCCCCAGGCGGCGGCTCTTACCGGCGGCGCTTCGGTCCCCGCGGAGGGAGCTCCTCGCCGCTTCGACCAGGGCCCCGAAGCCCAGGCCCACGGCCAGCCCTGGAAGGGGAGGAGGGGGGGGCCTTCAGCCGCGAGGGGGTCTCACCACAGGAGGCAGAGCGAGCCCCGGAGCGCCTCTTCCTGGGAGGCAGCCCCGCTGCCCTTCCTGAGCCGCCCCGGGAAGGTCGCGGGGGCTCAGCAGCGGCCGGGGCAGAAGGCCGCCGTCGCTCGGGCGAGCAGCCTGCAGGGAGACCGAGAGACGGGGGGGCTGCGCGCGCCTCCCCTCCCCCCCGCCCCGCCCCGCGCTCACCTCCGAAGGCGGCCAGCCGCCCGACGCGCGTGACAGGCACCTTCCGCTCCTGGGCCCGCTCGCTCAGCTGCGGACAAAGCAAGTCAGGCGCCGCCTCGACCGGAGCCCTGCCCGGCAGCCGCCCCGCCCGCCCGCCCGCTCACCTGGGCCCCGGCCTTGGCCGCCCCCGCACCCTTCCGCGGCCGGGCCTCCCGGGCTCTGCGCACCTCCTCCGCGCTCAGCCCGCGCAGCCGCGCCGCCCGGTGCAGCGCCGCCCGGGCGGGGGAGAGCCGCGCGGGCCCGTCCGGCGCCCCGAGCCCCCGCGGCCGGAGGAAGAGAGGGGCCACCGGGGGCCCCGCCGCGCGCCCCTGCCACCACATCGCCGCCGGGCCTCGCTTCCGGTCGGAAGTCGCCGGCTCCCGCCTCCTGCGCGCAACTTCCGGCCGCAGCAGGCCCTCCCTTCCCGCCGGGCGCCCGACGGGAGGCTGCCGCGCGGTCCTAGCGCTCGCCCATTGCGGCTGAGCCGGGGGCGACCCCGGCTGGGACTGCGGAGCCTGCGCGGGTGGCGCTCTGGGCCAAGAGAAGGGCGGCCGGGGGGAGCCGCGCTCGGCGACGCGTCCTGGCTTTAGCCCTGGAAGAATCCCCCGCCCGCGTGCCTTTTTCCGGGTGGGCGCGCCAGAGGCAGCCGGGGCGGGTGGGGCCCCAAGCCAGATGCGGCCTGGCGCTTGTTCCACCGAAAGGGCGGCGGAGATTGCGCGCCTATGGAGCCCTTTGGAGTTGGGGGAAAGTGCGGAGGAGACTTTGCCGGAGATGTTGGGCGGGTGCAGAGCTCTGGAAAGGGAGCCCAGCCGTTGCTCGGAGCCGGCAGGGTGAGCACCCTTTGGAAAGGGCGACTAAGGTCAGCGTTGGGCGCTGCTCCTCGGCCACCAGCCGCCCCGCAGCCTCCGTCTGACTTCGATTGCACCGCTTTGGTGAGCAGGCGGTGGGCTAACGGCGCAGACAGAAAATAACCAAACGCCCTGCATTGAAATGATAAATAAAATTTAACAACCCTAAAACTGGTTGAAAATGTGTACATTAATTCTTTTTTTGCCTGTTCACATAGCCTGCTGACATAATGGCTTGCTGGGTTTCCACACACATACAATTACACCAAGCCCATACGATCACATCTGGTGGGGCTACAGCCTCTATTTCTCGAGCCCATCAGAAATTCTTAAACATTTGTTAAAAGCTTAAGTTAAAATAAAAAAGAATTGCAGGTCAATGGATGCCTATTGCAGCTATTTGAGATTGCACTTTTTAAAATATGTGTTTTTAGAAAGCTCCTGTACCATAATTCTGTGTATTTTGTGTGTGTTTACTAAAAAACACTGGCTGGGCCTTCCTTTCTCCTTAAGGAATATTTGCCCAACGGATCAGGTCCACCAACCTGAACGTACCAGTCTTCCAGTGCCATCACTTAGCCTGCAATAAGATGGGTGGCCAATAAATTTGACAAATGAAATAACTGGGACTTTGTTTCCTCTTTGGGACAAGTGTGAGTCATGGACAGGGGAACAAGTCCCAGAGCATCACTGACCAATTGCATTACATGCTTTCTGGGAGGAACCATGAGGCCGTCAGAGAATATTATTTGCATGTTTTCTGCCAGGGAAGAAGCCATGGCAGTATGACTGGCTCAGGAAGAGCTGCTGGGAACGGCTGACGCAACATTTGCTGACAAATATGCCAGAGTTGGCGGAGGACATAGCACAAAAGATCCCTGACCCCAGAATCCCATCCAGGCAGCCCGAGTGGCAAGTAAGGAGGGCAAGCTGTGCTGTGAGTCACCCTGGACGTGAAAGGGGGCGCGGCCAAAGGCCCCAAGCGAGCGCCTGGCCTCGGGGACCCCTGGCTGGGGCAGCCCAAACTCAGACCCTTGGGGTGCAAGTCACAGCCACCAGAAGAGGCCCACTTGCGCCAGGCCTCCTGAAGGCCCTCTGCCCGCTTCGGGGTTGAACCACAAAGGCGGGGAATGGGGGGCCTTTGGCCAGGACCTGGGCTGGCTGAGTTGCAAGGCTTCCGGCTGGCCAAGGCAGGAGGGGGAGGGCGGAGGGAGGGTGCCCGGACGCGACCTGCGATGTCCGCAGCTGATTCCGGGCATCCGGAGGAGTCCCGGCCCGTTCCCGCCCCCGCCCCCGCCCTCCCGGCTCTTCCCGAATCGCAGCTCCGCCCCGCTCGAGCCGGCAGTCGCAGGGTCGCCGGGGCAGCCCTCTCCTCGCCCGGCTCTGCTTCGCCGCTCGCCGGGAGGGGGTCGGGGATCGCCTCGGACGCCGCCCGTCCCCACGCGGCCGCCGGACGCCGCCCAGCGCCCCCGCGGCGGCCACTCGCCGGCAGCCGGAGCGGGAGGGCGATGCGCCTGGAGGCCGCCGGCGCGGGAGAAGCGCCTTCCGGAGGGGACGAGCGCGGGGACGCGCAGGTGAGGCGGGGGTCGACGGGGCTGAGCCGGGGGAGCGTCTCGGGCCGGAGATGCTCCGCCGCTGGGCGAGGCTTGAGCCGGCCTGGCCGCTTGCGCTGCCGGGACCCCGAGAGGGGCGAGGGGAGGGCAGCTGCCCGGGGAGATGGCGGTGCGGTGGGGGCGACCCTGCGAGGTTCCCCCGAAGGATCGGCGGAGCCTCTGTACCTCTGCCCGGCCTGCCTTGGCCAGAGAGGCTCCGGCCGGGGACCCCGAACTGCCCGACCCTGCCGAGCGCGGCCCGGATGCAACCGCTGTGCAGAAGCCCCTGGCCGGAGCCTGGGAGGTGGTGGGCGGAGGGCCAGCCGACGGGTCCCCTTCGGGGCATTGGGGGATCAGCTGCTTTGGCTCGGGGTTAGGACACGGCAGTCCGTTTTCCTTGCAAGCAGTCTGGGGAGCTGCTAGGCCGGGCTGCCCTCGATGGGAGCCGCTCCCTGGGTCTCTTGAGTGGTTGGCAGGGATTGAGCTGAGCTGTGATTTGTGGTTTATTATTGCTTTCTTTTGCTTATATGGCTGCCCAGATCATGTATATGACTCTGGGCAGTGTACAAATTTTACATAAAATACAATTACTGAAATGATTTTAAAAAGAAAGCACACTGCAGCTGAAGACTCATAAAAGGCCTTGAAGGGAGCCATGGCTGGGCTTCTGCACACACTTCGGCCCCAGCTTGGGCCCAGAACCAGGTCTTTGAGGCCTTTCAGAGGCCAGCAAGGTGAGGTCCCACCGCCGAGAAGCTCTGGAGGGCCAGTGCTGCAACAGAAAAGGCTGGTGGAATCCACAACAGGCCTCCTCTGCCGGGCGCGTCAGATGGAGAAACCATTGGGGAGTAAAGAAGGGGACCGCAAGCCACGTAGGAACTTCAAGAGAGACACCTGGCGCCTTGAATAGCCTCACAGAGGTAGCCAACGCAGCTTGCAGGGCAGTGGTGTCACCTGTGCCAAATGTTGTGGCCACCAAAACAACAATAAAGACAGCAACGCTGCTGCTGCTGAGGGCAACTGGCTAAGCTCTGTTTTACAGCCAGAGCCTTCCTGGATTCTGGATCCCTTGGGCCTCAGCACGGGAGTTTCTTTGGTAGCCACAGCAGCGTGGAACGAACTTGCCTCTGCTCTCCCTTGGATGCTCTCTGCCCAGCCCCAACCTGTGGGTGTCCTGGTGTCCTGCTTCGTTCTCAAGGTCGGGTAGGACTGGCTTGGTGATCAACTCCTAGCAAGTGGAGCCACGAACCTGGGGAAAATCCTGCTGACACAGGAGATTTCCCCAATGCGAGGCGCTATCTTTTTTTTTTTTTAATTTATTTATTTATAGATAAAATTACTTAATTTTTTTTAGATCCAAACTTTTATTTCTTTATTTCTTTATTTCTTGATGGGCCATGCTCTCCCATCTGGAGGGATCAAAGACCTGTGTGCTGCACAGGCGCCAAACACAATGAAACCTCACATCTTCCAGCCACAAGTCAAGGATGGTCTTTCCCTTGTTTCCCAGCCCCCCCTATGCCCCCTCCCTTCATGCCCTCCTTCCCTAGAGAGCCACAGCTGGCCCCACTGACTCTGTCCAGAATGGGCAAAGTGTTTCCAGCTTTACAAGAGCTGAGCAACTCAATCAACAGTGGCTTCTGTTCTGAATCCCGGATCTTCTGCGATTTCTCACCCATCCAGCCACATTTTCTGGCCTTTTAAAAATCTGGTTTCCATGAGCGAGTGGTTGGGCTCTGCAGGAGAGGGACGGGCACTTGATGCCCCCCCCCCCCACCGCCTCTTCCTGGCTCCTCCGATCCTCCCAGGAAAGGCCCAGGCAGGCTTTCTTGATGGGACCAAATGCTTGGGGATCAGAGGCTTCTTCAATCCTTGTCCCCAAATGGGGGGTTGACTTTGGGGACTTCCAGAATTCCCAGCCAGGTAGGTAGAGCTCTAGCTTTCTTGTCCCAGGTGTGGGGCTGCTCCTTCCATCACGCGTTTTCCAGGAGAATGATGAGCCTGTGAGCCCAGGATCCTTTGTCTATCTTGAGAAGATGAAGAGTGAGAAGTCTGGTAAAAATTCTATTTCAAATGAATATACAGAGTGCTGGTACTCTTGACTCAGAGAAAAACTGCTCCAATCAACACTCCCTTGCCTTCATTTGTTTTCTGGAACTTTCTGGAACATACAGAGCACTTATTTCTACCCGTGAGGCACCTGTTTGGCCTCCTTTGATAAGCCGCTTCAGTTGCGCCAGCTGCAATGGCTTTATTTCCGGCAAAATGAATCACCCTGGCTTCTGCCCGGTCCGTGGAGCTGAGCATGCCTGACTCATGCCTGGCTGGAGGGCTGGACTGGCCCGGAGCTCCAGCTGTCTTTATTTATTTTATTTTATTTATTTTTATTTATTTTATTTGGTTTATCAATTGCCTACAAGATAATAGGAATAAGTAAAAACATAGTTATGAATACATGGATACATATAAAAACAATAAAAGAAACAATAGGACAGGGAAGGTTGGTGCGCTTATGCACGTCCCCTGCAGACCTCTTAGGAAAGGGGTGAGGTCAACAGTAGACAGCCTAAGGTTAAAGTTTTTGGGGTTTGGGGAAGAAACCACAGAGTCAGGTAGAGGATTCCAGACATTGATCACTCTGTTGCTGAAGTATTTCCTGCAGTCAAGTTTGGTGCGATTAACCTTGAGTTTGTATCTATTGTTTGCTCTTGTATTGTTATGGGTGAAGCTGAAGTATTCATTGACAGGTAAGACACTGCAATGTATGATTTTATGTACTATACTTAGATCGGACCGAAGGGGGTAGTTCTAGGTTTTCTAGGTCTAGAATTTCAAGTCTGGTGGCATAAGGTATTCTGCAACATGTAGAGGAATGGAGAACTCTTCTTGTGAAATATTTCTGGACTTTCTCAACTGTGTTAATATCAGAT